GAGAATGCTGGCCCATTTCCAGTTACTCAGGCCGCCTTTCCCTCCCCTTTAATGCTCTGCCAAAAGATTATTTGGTGCTTCCCAGATAAAGGAGATGGGAAAGCTTTAAAATAGTGACCATCTGATGGGTCAGTTTTAGGAAAAGTTGCAGTGAGGTTGGTCTAACTCTCTGAGTTAAGACTGTGAAGTTGGGGTGAGGGGCTGGGTGTTCCCGTCCCTGCCTCATGCTGGCTGCCATTCGCTCTAGCCTAAGACGGCCCTCCATGGTCCATTCTAGTCCCCTTCACTAGAGGCCTCCATAATAACTTGACTCTTCTGGCCCGGGTTTTTCTTCACACGTTGTGGTCTCCATCACAACACTTCTCACCATCTGCCTTGCCTTGGTCATGTCTGACTCTGCCTCCAACTGCAGATGGTGAGCCCGGGGCAGGCAAGACCATCCTGCTAGAAGCGGGGGGTGCTGAGGAAGAGGGTCTGGGGTATGGGGAAGGGTCCTGGCAGTGAAAACAAGGCAGAGCCTGCAGCGGGCACTCAGCTGGAGAGGCAGAATCAAGTCACGGAGCTTGGAAGTTGGGTAACTGGGAGGGAACTTAGTTAAAATGAAAGTCTATGGTGAAGCTGGCCTTTCTTCTGACACTCCTGGAAGGTGGAAGTTTGCTCTTTATTGAGAGCTCAAGCGAAAGGGAAGAAATGTTTTCATGATCAATGTGAAAATGTTATTTAGAACAGGGGCAAGCTACAGCCCTCTGGGCCAAATCTGGCCTGCTGCCTGGTTCTAAGATAAAAGTCTTACTAGAGCACAGCCATGCCCTTTCGTGTCTGTGTTGCGTCCAGCTGCCTGAGCACTACAACAGAGCTGAGTCGTTGTGATAGAGGCCGTATAGCAGGCAAAGCCTAATGAGTATCTCTGGCCTTTTCAGAAAACATGTCTCCACCCCTGATTTAGAACAGCTCTGGGCTCTGGGTATCTGTCTACATCTGGGCAGAGGACCATCCGCTCACAGTGAACAATTTGAGGTCAGATATAAACACACTGTTCAGAGCCAGTGTTCAGCTCAGCCTGCAGCGTGTTGGGATATAGATCCCACGGCTGAAGGCCACGCAGAACAAGCTCATGGGAACTGCTACTCCCTCGCCAGCGCGCTGGAAAGATTCCTGGGTACTGCTTCAGATTTGGGGCTTCCCACTGCAACCTCCTCCTCCCCGGTTCAAGCAATTATCCTGCCTCAGCCTCCTAAGTAGCTGGGATTACAGGTGCATGTCACCATACCCAGCAAATTCTTTGTATATTTAGTAAAGACAGGGTTTTGCCATGTGGGCCAGGCTGGTCTTGAACTCCTGGGCTTAAGCAATCCTCTTGCCTCAGCCTCCGAAAGTGTTGGGATTACAGGCATGAGTCACTGCATTCAACCCTAATAAATTTTTTTTTGAGACAGTCTCACTCTGTCGCCCAGGCTAGAGTGCAGTGGCGTGATGTCAGCTCACTGCAACCTCCACCTCCTGGGTTCACGCAATTCTCCCACCTCAGCCTCCCAAGTAGATGGGATTACAGGTGCATGCCACCACACCCGGCTAATTTTTTTTTTTTGAGACAGAGTCTTGCTACGTTGCCCAGGCTGGAGTGCAATGGTGCAATCTCGGCTCACTGGAACCTCTGCCTCCCAGGTTCAAGTCATTCTCTCTGCCTCAGCCTCCTGAGTAACTGGGAGTACAGGCACACGCCACCTTGCCCAGCTAATTTTTTTATTTTTAGTAGAGAATGGGTTTCGCCATGTAGGCCAGACTAGTCTCAAACTCCTGACCTCAGGTGATCTGCCCATCTCGGCCTCCCAAAGTGCTGGGATTACAGGTGTGAGCCACCGCACCTGGCCAATTTTTTGTATTTTTAGTAGAGACAGGATTTTGCCTCTCTCTGTCCTCCTACCACTTGACCCTGGTCATGGGTCTAGTCACAGGAAGTGAGTGGCAGAGCAGGATAAATAAAAGACCAAAAAGAGGAGCACCAGGGAACTTGTGGTTACTGGGAGATGCCAGAGAGGGGAATTCAGGGAAGCAAGTAAACACAGGCTTGATGAGATCAAAGCCTCATCCCTGAGCTGCGCACATGTGGGCCTGACCCTAAACAGCATTCCAGAGACACCGAGGCGTGAACTGTGGCCCAGCTCACCGCCAAGTCCCCAGGTGCCCCTGGGTGATGCACACACAGCACAGCGCTGCACGGTCACTGCACGGCGCCGCAGAGGCGCTGAACACAGGACTGACACCAAAACCACACCCTGAGAAGCCTGGTTGAATGTGCAGCCTGAACCCAACTGAATCAATCATCTGCTAAGACAAAAATAATGACATTTACAAGACCCAGAGCCTCATAACAATATTTAAAATGTTCAGGATACAAAATTACTTAGCGCAGGGAGAACCAGGAACCTCTCTACTCACATGAGAGCTGATACAGACGTCACCGCCGCATAACTCAGATGCCGGAATTAGCGGATGAAGACTTGAAAGCGGCTATTACAAGAAAGTTCCAACTGGGAACACATGGAAAGATGAAGTCTCAGCAAAGACACAGAAGATAGAAAGAACCGATGCAATCAAAAACACACAGGACCAGCTCGATAGTGGAATGACAACGCAAGGGAAGATTCAGTCAACCGGAAGATAGTTCAATATAAATTATCACATCTCACTGACAGAGAGAAAAAAAGACAGGGGCTAGCTGTGGTGGCTCATGCCTATAATCCCAGCACTTTGGGACGCCGAGGTGGGCAGATCACTTGAGGTCAGGAATTCCAGACCAGCCTGGCCAATATGGTGAAACCTCATCTCTATTAAGAATATAAAAACTAGCTAGGCATGGTGGATGTATGCCTGTAATGCCAGCTAATGGGGAGGCTGAGGCATGAGAATCTTTTGAACTTGGGAGACAGAGGTTGCAGTGAGTCGAGATCACGCCACTGCACTCCAGCCTGGGTGACAGAGTGAGACTGCATCCCCAAAAAAAGAGGGCCAGGTGCGGTGGCTCATGCCTATAATCCCAGTACTCTGGGAGGCCAAGGAGGGCAGATCACGAAGTCAGGAGTTCAAGGCCAGCCTGGCCAGCATGGTGAAACCTCGTCTCTACTAAAAATACAAAAATTAGTTGGGCATGGTGGCGTGTGCCTGTAGTTCCACCTACCCGAGAGGCAGAGGCAGGAGAGCTGCTTGAACCCAGGAGGAGGAGGTTGCAGTGAGCCGAGATTGCACCACTGTACTCTAGCGTAGTGATAGAGCATGACTCCATCTCAAAAAAAAAAAAAAGGAAAGAAAAAATAATAAGGAAAAAAAAAGATTGGAGCCTCAGGGACCTGTGGGACAACAGCAAAAGGGCTGATGCTTATGTCACTGGAGTTGCAGAAGGAGAGGGGAAGTAATATGATGCAGGAAGTTACGTGAAGAAATAAAGGCTAAAAACTTCGCAAGTCTGGAGGGAAACAGAAACCTATAAATTCAGGAGCTCGACAAACACCAAAAAGAACGAGCCCAAAGAAATCCATGCCAGGCATATCATAATTATACCAGTGAAAACTAAAAACAAAGAAAAAAATCTTGAAAGTAGTCAGAAAAAAAGATGATGCATTATTTAGAAAAGAATTTGAATGACTGTGGATTTTTCATCAGAAACCACAGTGGTCAAAAGTAAGTGGAGGCTGGGTGTGGTGGCTCACGCCTGTGATAGCACACTGGGAGGCCAAGGTGGAAGGACTGCTTGAGATCAGGAGTTGGAGACCAGCCGGTGCAATAGAGGGAAACCCAGTCTCTACAAAAAACTAGCTGGGCGCGGTGGCACATACGTGTGGGTCCAGCTACGGCGGAGGCTGAGGCGAGATGAGCCCTTAAGCCCAGAAGGTCAATATTGCAATGAGTAGTGATCGAATCACTGCACTCCAGCCTGGGCACCAGAGCGAGACTCTGCCTCAAAAAAAAAAAAAAAAAAAAAAAAGGGAGTGGAGTGCTAGATTAGAATGACACAGAGCATATTAGCATGGCCCCTTAAAAATTATAAAAAAAGAAAAAACATTAAGTGACACATTTGTCAAGTGCTCAAAGAAAAAACTGTTAACACAGAACCCTAATTCAGAATAAATATAGTAGCCTAGGAGTTTGATACCAGCCTGGGCAACAGAAACCCTATCTCTACAAAAAGTACAAAAATTAACCGGGTGTGGTGAGGTGTGCCTGTAGTCCCAGTGACTCAGCAGGTTGAGTCAGGAGGATCACTTGAACCTGGGAGGTTGAGGCTACAGTGAGCTATGATCATGCCGCTGCACTCCAACCTGGGTGACAGAGCGAGGCCTGTCTCAAACATACATTCATTCATTCATTCATTCATTCATACATACATACATAAAATAAAATTAAAAAGGAGAGTAATGGCACTACCCAACAGGGCTCCTGTGAGGACACATGAGTCGGTGTGCGGCGCCCATCAGTGCCCAGTAGACGGGTGCTATGCTGCTATCCTCTTGAGCCCTCCCCTGCCCTCTCCACCCTCCTCGTGCCCCAGGAGACTGACCTCAGTGGACTGCTCACCCGGACTCCTGCCATTTGGCTTCCCTGGGTCTGACAGGAGGTCAAAGGATGGGAGGTGAGAGAGTCTGGGGCACCCCTAATTCTGCCTCCTGCCGCTGCCAGTCCCTGGCGCCTCACCATCACTTGTTGGTTGCCTTAACCCTCTCATGCTTCTGCGATGGTCCCGTCATTAAATGCTTTCCTGTGACCCCTCTGGGTGGGCCAGCTCTTTCCTATGGGAACCCTGACCGATACAATGAATTCCACACTGTTCCTTTTCCTTTGACAAAAGGAAAATCTATGTCTGCAGACTGGCCTTCGTGGAGCTCCTGTTTGCTGGCCTTACCTTCTCCTATGCCTCTGGTCATCTCTGGTCTTGGAGATGAACACACGCCCTTCACCCTCCCCTTTATCTTGGCACCAAAAACCCCAGCTCACTGGAGTCTTACCCGCTTGACGCAATCCTCTTTAGCCAAGCGTTCCTGAATCAGTTGGACGAGCAGTGCGCTGGGAACTGTCTGAAGGAAAAAGGACACAGAATGATGCCAGGGCATCCCGCAGCTTAGGACACAGACTGGCACACAACCCTGACCAACACCCTGGCCTCTGCAAAGCCCCGACCACCCTCAGGGCCCGCCCTTCCTCCGCCTGCCGCACTCGCTTCCTTGAACTCTCTTCTCCCCCCAGCATCTTTGAGGGCCTCCCTCACACATGTACTCACCTTATCCTGTGCCCAGGCCCCATCATGCCCTCGCCCACCTCCACCTGAATAACTCCAGGGTTCCCTCACAGCCTCAGCCCCACGTGCCAGCGCACAGGAAGCCCTGCCGGATCCTCCCAGGCCAGGCTGATACTACTTCCCACACTCCAACGTCCTGGATGGAGAACTCTGTCGCTGCACTAACCCCCACACATTCTAACGGCCTGCTCACGTGTCTATGTCCCCAGTAAGTTGTGAAGTTCTTCAAGGAAAGGGGCAGTGTCTTACTGACTTTGGACCCCAGACAGTGGCGGGTGGGAGGGAATTGCCTCCAAGACTCAGCAGAGGTGAGTTTGTCCATCTCTTCCGAAGTACACAGTCAGTGATCTCATGTTGGTAACAAAATTGGCCACGGTAGGAATGTTTACACCACAGAAATGTCAAAGGCTACAAATAAGGCCCCTGCCCCCAACCCAGTGCTGGCTGTTAAATACTGACCAGACCACTGCCCAGCACCAAATGGTGTCAAGGATATAGGAAGCCCTGCTAACTGATGAACTAATGAAACTTCAAACCTCCTTAATTCATTCCAGTCATGATGTTTGTTGAGCACATGCTATGTGCCAGGCACTGGGCCAAGCATTCCATTCTTCACATTTTGTAACAACTCTGTGCCATCTGTGCCACTGTTAGCCCTTTTCATAGAGGAAGAAGATGAGCCTCAGAGAGGTGAAGCTGCTTCCCCAGGGTGCTCCACACACTCCCTTCTCTGCAGAGGACTGGGGAGGGAGCAGCTCTTCTGAGGAGAGTCACTGACGCCTGGCCTGTGCCCTTCCTGATATATAGACCAGCGGCCAAAAATCTCCCCTATGCCCACCCACATCTCTGAAAAAGGACATGGGAAGTAGAAATACATTCCAATCAGGAAGGTTCCTTGCTGGGAGGGGGGCTTTCTGGCACAGCCTTTCTTACGCAGAGCAGACTCAGCCTTGGCAACAGGGCTCACCCCCCACCTCTGCCCAGGGCAGGCTCTCTGCTCCTGGCGGCTGTGATCCAGCCAGCTGAGCAACCCCGGGCAACGCCTTGACCTCCTTAGACCTCACACACTTCACTAGTAAAAATCAGTAATGAGACTGTGGGTGTGGCTTTTAATTTTCCATACATTCCACTCACAGTAACACGGGCTCCCAAAGTTCCTTTGAGGAGTCGCCCTCTTGCCCTTCTGCCTGTATGGTCTGGGTATGTTCAACTCCATCCTCAGATCCACAAGAGGGCCCTGACTCGTCCAAGCCAATTCGCATATCCCACTCCTGGCCACTGTGATTGATTCAGAGGCTACATGGGACCCAGTCCCAGCCAATGAAAGTCAGGCCCAGGATATCAGTGCAGTTATCAGCGGCATGAATCCCTGCTTTCCACCAGATCAGAAGCTAAGAAAATGTAAGACCGGGAGCTGCAGCAGCCACTTCGTGGGCATGAGGGTTGTGTAATGGAATGAAACCAGCACAAAGCGAAAGAAACAAGACTCAGCAGCAGAACGACTTCTCCAGGGATGTGGAATTGGAAGAAAATGAGCAGACTGCAAGAGAATGAGGGAGGGGGCCTCTGCTGGGGAGCTGGATGAATGGGTTTGTTTGAAAGTTATGGGGCCACCATGTTTCTACAAGGTAGACAGCCAAAGTCAAGACTGAAAGCAAGAGGGACAGAGAGAATGAATGAATGAATGAATGGTGCACAGTTCCTCTTTAAAGTGTCCTTTCTTGTTAAAGAATGAATCATAAGTGTGCTAATAAACTCTTTGTGAAGCCCTATCCTCTGTAGCTGTGAGACACGCCGTGCTTACAGGCACATAGCACATTCTATGTCCTTGTGCTTTAACCAAGATATCTGTGCTGGATGTGCTCACAGGCATGTCCCAGCTCTCCACTGCTTTTACCTGTTTAGAAAAGTTTTAAGTTGTTAGCCAATCGGGTTTTAGTTTACATTGTGAGGTCTGGCTCCAGCCAACAGAGATCAGACACAGCAGTAAGGACGACCCCACATGTATAATGGATAAATATGTCTGTTTTCCTTTGTTCATTGTACTCTCGTGACAAGATGGCTAGCAAGGGTACCTTCCTGCAGTCCAGGAAGTAAAAGTTGTGTTGCTGAAAGATCTTTTGTCTCTGTGCTAATTTTTCTTTGTGGCATCAAACATCTGTTTCCAACAACAGAGAAAAAAGAAGACCAGAGGGGCAAGAAGGAGGTGAGCTGGCATCCAGTCCCTGGCTCCAGCACCTGCTGAGATAGCCCTGTGTCTTCACCACATCACTCCCACCCCCTCCTTTCTTCCCTAAGCCAGTGATTCTCAACTTGACTGTGGAACAGAACGCTGGCAGAGCTTCTAAAACACAAATTGCTGGGCCCCACCCCAGGAGCTCTGATTCAGTAGCTCTGGGATAGAGCTGAGAATGTGCATTTCTAGCAAGTTTTCAAGTGATGCAGATGCTGCTGGTCAGGGCATCACACTGGATAACCACTGGCATACACCCACCCACACAGGGCCCCCGAGGTCTGGGGGACGCTGCTAGAGAGCAAGGGTGTCTTTCCGCCAGTGCCCGTTTCCCCCAGGTCTCTAGGGGGGCTTCCCCAGGCTGGTGAGGGAGGGTGTGGGCAGGAAGCAGCCCTGTCCCTCCCCTCTGCATCGCCCCACCATCTCTTCCTCTCCCCTTCCAACCCCTTTCATCCTTTCCCAGCCCCTCAAGTCCTCTCCAGAACCCAGGCACAACCAGTTTCCATCCTAGGGCTGTTTTCCCAAGATTCCTCTGCCCTCTCTGCCAACGCCCATTCAGGAGGCAGTGTTCAAACAGGTACAGGATGCAGAGGAGGATGCCAGCCAGGACGCAGAGGGTGCCAGCCAGTCAAAGAGCACCAGCTGAAAGGCGGCCAGCCCCGGTGGGGCACAGCGCCCCCTGCAACCTGCGCGGCAGGGGACAGGCCGGCAGCTTTGAGCGAAGCTACTCCTGAGCGCCCCCCGCCGCTCCCCGCCACAGTGCTGTCTCCACGCCACAGTGCTGTCTCCACGCCAGCTTTGATGTGTCACGTCAGCAGCAGGGCTTTCGGCGGCCGCTTGTTGAAGCCCTGCCAAACTGTCTTAGCAGGAATCAGCTTCCCTCCTTGCAGAGCACTGTGATGCTCTCCTGCCCCAGCCCCCAAAGCCTGGTGTTTGGGGAGAATTAGGGAGAAGCTGACAGAGTGCAGCTAGGCCGCTCCTGGCCACAGAGAAGGCTCAGCCCTGGCTCAGGCCCCTGGCCCCAGGTCTCCCTGCCCGGTGGCACCACAGCACCCAGCTGCTCCTGTGCTGCTTCCATGCACTTAAGGGCAGGATAGGCTGCGTTTGCTGCAATTTGGATTTTTCTGTCTTCCCCTTCCAGCACGCAGTGCTGGCCTGGGTGCCTTCCCAGGCCTGGGGACAGACTTGCTGGTCCGCTAACCCTGCAAGGTGCTGCCCCTCCCTTGAAGGATACTGTGTTTTGCTGCTCCGAGGCAGCCAAGTGGGCAGGTGCCAACCCTGGCTCTGCCCCTGGGGCATCACTTGACTTCTCCCCAGTGGGCTTCCTCACACTGGGATGACATGAGCCTACCTCTTCCTATCCCATCTTCAGGTCCCACTCTCAGGGACCCTAATGTCCCTGTGTCAACTTAGTGAGAGATGCCTGCTCAGAAGCTGTGGGCGTTTTGAGCTACGGTGTGAACTGGGGAAGTAGAGCAGTGAGTGGAACAGTTGGGATGCCCTGATCTGTCCCCCGGACCTCCCTTCTCCAAAAACGGGCTCCTCCTGGTAGACGAGGAAAACCCAGTAGTTGGCCTTGAGCTCCCTCAGAACTGACGGAGTATCCTTTAGAGAAAACTCCCATTCCAAAGTTACCACTGCTGCTTGGAGCTGACAGAGCAGGTTAGGAGACAGCAGGAACTGCCTCCTGGAGCCTGGGACGGGGAGACAACAGGGCAGGGAGAGGAGATGATGCTTCACAGGAAGACAGCGGACCTCACAGTGTGGCACCAGATAAGCACATGGAAGGAGGTGGCAGCAAGAGAAACCCTGGACTGGACAGAGCTCAGGGAATGTTCAAAGGAGCGACGGTGCCTGGTGCTCAGAGTTCCCGGGCTGCAGTCACCTCTGCTACCCCAAGCCTTCAGAAAAGGCCTGTTCCATGCCACCGCTTGGAGCAGTTAACTCAGGAAAGGGAGGCAGAGACTGAGGGCGTTCCCACTTTGTCTCAGCTCAGCCTCCAGAAATGGGAGCAGCAAGGCCAGCTGGAGATGGAGTGGCCAGAAGTGAGGGAGACAGCCAGCAGGACTCGGAAGCAGCATCTGTGGGCTATTTCCCAGAAATCCTCAGAACCAATTGGAGGGGACTGTGTTTCCTGTGTGCAGACAGAGGTAGATGAGGGCTCAAGTTCTTTTCTTCCTTTGAGACAGGGTCTCACTCTGTCATCCAGGCTGGAGGGCAGTGGCTCCATCACGGCTCACTGCAGCCTCGATCTCCCAGCTCAACGTCCCGGGTAGCTGGGACTACAGGCACCCACCACCATGCCCAGCTAAAAATTTTTTTGCTTTTTTGTAGAGAAAGAGAGAAAAAGAAAGATGGCAATCCTCCCACCTCAGAACTGGGCAGGGGAGCACATTTGGCTTTCTCTGGTTGGTCCTAGGTTGGAAGCAGGGACAAAAACTAGAGACACCGCCAGTTATTAATCAGGCCCTGGCCACTTGGGATAGATCGCTACAGGGGTTACCTAGTTCAGCTTCCTGCACTATTGGAAGAGACAGCAGCCTGACTTCCTACAAGCCTGACACAGTAGGTGGCTTCCCGGGCTGCCTCTCGTAGGTGACAGGCTGGACTCCTGGGCGGGCTGCTGCAGACTATGGGCGAAGTCCTAAGTTTATACGAGGTCTGGCCATTGTCCACACTGAATATTCAGTCTCAGTAGATATGAGACTGAATAAAACATCTCTGGGGAAGGTCAAATGCTGTCTGGATTTGCTTTCAAATAACCCAGGGACGGGGAAATGGGTGAGGGAGCAACACAAGCCTAGACCGCCATGCGCTGACGTCCGTCGAAGCAGGGGTGGATCCACGGGGGTTCTCAGAGTATCCTCACAGCTTCTGGATATTTTTATGAGATTTCATAACAAACAGTTACAAACAAACAAAACTCCCTGGCCACTGTGTCCCCATGGACTTTATGATACTGCCCAATTCCAGGCCCTTCCATGCCTTGGAACGTCACAATGTGCCCTTTGGGAAGCCTCTGCTTAATGTAATTGTGGGTTATGTGGGCCTCCAGGGGGCCCCTAAATCTTGCAGCCTGTACCCTCTTCCCAACCCAGAGCCAGTGCCTAGAACTTAGTAGGTGCTCAGGACTAACGTAAATAAATGAGGAAATGAATTGAGTCAAACAAGCCACTGATCACTTGCTTTAACGAAGGTTTCCTGGCTCCCACACCTGGGCTTGTGCTGAGTTTTATGGGACCATCAGTCTCCTCCCTGGCTGGAAGCTTCTGGGGTAAGGAGAAGAAACTCATCTTCCACTCTCCCATAGCATTGCAGAAAAGTGCATGGCAAAAAGGCAGTTAGGAAGGATTTTGGAAACCATTTGGAAATGGCTAAGATGGAGATGTCTTGGTTAACAGTGGCAACGTAAGAGAATTCTGCTTAGGAGGGCAAAAAGCCAAGACTCGCCAGAGAAAAGTATTTGAAGGTATCATGACTGCTTACAAAAAGAGCCGTAAGGACTCCAAATCAGCAGACAATTTAAACAGGACATTTAATGAGAGGCGCTGCCTGGCAGGCACCGTCTGCAGACGAGGCCACGCACGGCCGAGCCTGCCATGCACCCACTCGCTCTTCACAACATTTTATTCCTTGACGAGGCCTGACATCCAGGCCTTTCATCTTCCCTCCACCAGAGTTTCTGAGCCAAGGACCCCAACAAGACACCCTTGAAAGCACTTCAATGTGCTCTGAAATACGTGGATAATTAGCAAAATGAAACCCAGGAAGAATTTCCTTAAACTCCTTCCTCTCTGTTGATTTTTATAAATCTAATACAAACATTTTTGTCCTAGAAATAAGCCTTCCCCCAAAAAGCGTATCTTCTTTAGAAAATGAGATAACCACTTTCTTTCTAAAACTATATTCCCAGCCCAAAAGGCTGGTGTCCCTGCAGGCTGAAGCCACATACTCCAACTCCTGTAAGACACAGGGCAGTTGGGGACTGACTTGCCCTGGGGGAAGCCACCTTGCTGAGCCAGGCTTTCCTTCTCTAATGAGCTGTTGTCACAGGCAGACTTGGGGCTGGGGGTCTGTCAAAGTCATACCCCTCTCTCTCTCTTTTTTTTTTTGTTAAGACAGTCGTGTTCTGTCACCCAAGCTGGAGTACAGAGGCCTGATCTTGGCTCACCACAACCTCAGCCTCCCGGGTTTGAGCAATTCTCCTGCCTCAGCCTCCTAGGTAGCTGGGAATATAGGCACCTGCCACCATGCCCAGCTACTTTTTTTGTATTTTTGTAGAGATGGGGTTTCACCATGTTGGCTAGGCTGGTCCTGAACTCCTGACCTCAAGTGACCTGTCTGCCTCGGCCTCCCAAAGTGCAGGGATCATAGGTGTGAACCTCCACGCCCGGCCCATAAGTCCCATCTCGGAAAACTGCCATCCCCTGCAAGCAGGAGTCTTCATGGCCTCGTCTGAGCTCTGTGGCCTCACTGAGTCCTCCCTTCAACAGAGCTGACTGTGCCTGGAACACCCGACCAGCTAGCCTGGGCCGATCCCCTTCCTGAGGATTTGGCTTTGAAGCTGCCTTTGTGGGTGGTCTCAACTGAGGACACAGGAGACAGAAATGGAGTGGTGTTCCCGAGTGGCTGCAGTATAAGAGAGACGGAGAGAGGAGGAACAGGAAACCACAGAGGATGCAGGTAAGAGACGAAGTGCCCCGGGGAGGTGGAGAGGCCGAGGCCCTGGATTCCTGACTGCAAGAGCCACAGAGCTGGCCCTGGCTTCCTCCATCCAGGTCACAGGAGTCCCGTGGCCCCCTCCCAATCCTCTTTCTGCCCCAGGCAGCCCGGGTGGATTCCTGCTACCTCAAGCCAAGGACTGGCTATGAGAACTGCCCTGCCAGCTGCCATTCCCTGGTGGTCAATGGGACCTGGAGACTCACCTCCAAGTTCTTGGAGAACAGTGGCCACATGACTATATGGTGAAGACCTTGTCCAGAAGCCAGATGTGGTGGCTCACACCTATAATTCCAGCATTTTGGGAGACCTAGGTGGGAGGATCCCTTGAGCCCAGGAGTCGAGGCTAGCCTGGGCAACTTGCCTCCACTCGTTTGCCCCATATCTACAAAATAATCAAAAAATTAGCCAGGCATAGTGGTGTGCACCTGTAATCCCAGCTACTTGAGGATGCTGAGGTGGGAGGAGCAACTGAACCGAGGACGAGACTGCAGTAAGCTGTGAATGCACCACTGTACTCCAGCCTGGGCGACACAGTAAGACCTTGTCTCAAAAAAAAGAGAGAGAGAAAGAAAAAGAAAGAAAGGAAAGAAAGAAAGAAAAAGAAGAAGGAAGGAAGGAAGGAAGGAGAGAAAGAGAGAGAGAGAAAGAAAAATAAATAAAAAGAAAGAAAGATAGAGAGGAAGGAAGGAAAGAAAGAAAAAACGCCTTGCCCATTGAATGAGGTTGAAGACAGGATCCAATCATTTCTCAGCTATAGCCCCCCCTGCAGAGACCAGTGGGAGACCCCAAGTTCTCACCCAACTAGTGGTCAGGCACAGGGCAGACCTGAATTAAACATTATACAAAAGAAGTGCCTGCTTAGGGCACAGGGAAGGGGAACCCAAGTTCCACCTCCACTCCCATGGACCCTGCCCTACTCCTTCGCTGCCACACTCCACTTCTGGCCATTTTTTGGTCATTGTCTTTAACTGCCATGCTCAAGTTTAATCTGCAAGGTTGGCAAAAAGTTTTCTTTGGCATGGTGACGGACTGAAGTTTAAAGGTTTGGCTTGAAGGTGCCATCACCTGCGTTTCTGTCTCACAGGGTCAAAGGAGGCCTGATGGTGGCCTTGCTTAGTGCATTTGTAGGCCTGAATCAACAGGCCTTGGGATCACAAGGCCAGCAGGGAGGCCTGGAACGCCTACAGCATGCACTGAATGCTCAAGACAGAAGCGTTGGCCTCACTGTTCAGTCGTCCTGGCTCACAAACGAGAGAGAGCCCAGGTTCCAGGGAAGGAAGCCCCAAAGGGCAGATCCAAGCATCTGCTCCAAAGGAAACTATTCTTTTAATTTTTAATTTATTTAGAGACAGGGTCTCACTATGTTGCCCAGGCTGGCCTCAAACTCCTGGGCTCGAGCCATCCTCCCGCCTCCATCTCCCAAGTAGTGGAGACTACAGGCATGCGCCACCATGCCCAGCCAGAGGGAATTTTGAAGAAATATTGTGAGTTTCTATTTGAGAAGATGATTTTCAAATGTAGAGCTGGTGGTCTTTTAGAAACGGAACACCCACACCTCCTGCGATGCTCCCCCAAATGCATGAGAGGGACAGAGTGAATGGGCACTGCCCAGACCAGAGGGTGGGCCCTGTGCAGTAGGGTGCCCAGGGCGACAGGAGGGAAACGCCTCTAATGTACAGAACATGGGGCTTTCCACTCTGGGAACAGCTGGACAGCTGCCCTTTCACCTGCTGGTGCAGCCCAGCCGGGCATCTCCTGGCATGGGCCACCAGGCTCAGCACTTGCCTCCACCCCTTTACTAAGCTGACCCTAAGAAGAAAAAGAGCAAGCCTACCCTTCCACCAGAGGCTTGGACAACACTGCCTCCTTCACTCGACTTGTGATCCTTTCCCACCACAAAAGCTCACCTCAGTACCCAACAGGACGTGGGCCCAGTAAAGAATACCTTCCTCCTTCCTTCACATCCTGCCTGTATCTCATTTTACCCCAACATTTTCTTTTACTTAATCAAAAATGAAATGGGAACAAGGCAAGCAATGGCCGTGTGGCAGTGGGGGTGATGGCGGGCACTGCCGCTGTGTGCCTACCCGTCCCAAGGCCAGTCCTACCTTCCTTTGCAGATAAAGCCTCCTGGCGTCGGCGGCTGTATATGAAAACTCATTTAAGACCAGGCTCTCCAGAGTGAGGAGATTGCTGTTCAGATGTTTGCAGAGCCACATTGCCTGAGGAAAGGAAAGAAGAAAAGAGCATTTTAGTAAAAACAATAAATACACAAATGACTCCATTAAAATGCCAGCCAGGTCCTTCCCTCTTGTGCGGGGAAAAGGCTGGCCATGGAGAAGCATAATTATTTCCAGCTGGAGGAAGGTCACCAAGGAAGGCCTAAGAGCCCTGCTATAGCATCTCTTCTTCTCCCAGCACGGACCTAAATGAAGTGGGAAGACCTACAAGTGGGCTACATTTTCGCTGCCCTTGGCATGCTTTCCAAGCTCTGTGGACCATGAGTTTCATCTCAAGGAAGATTTAGAACAGGAACTTTGAGGACAGAACCTAAGGATGGGTAACAACCCACACTCAGTGTTCTTTTTTTTTTTCCTTAAAGATTGGGAGATGGCATGTGCTATCAATGGGATGTTTAGTTCATTGATAATTAACTCTATAGTCTATAAGGAAAGAGTAAATTTTTTTTTTTTTTTTTTTTTGAGCCAGGGTTTCCCTCTTGTTGCCCAGGCTGGAGTGCAGTGGTGCTATCTCTGCTCACTACAACCTGCACCTCCCGGGTTGAAGCGATTCTCTTGCCTCAGCCTCCCAAGTAGCTGGGACAGGCACACGCCACCATGCCCAGCTAATTTTTTGTATTTTTAGTACACACAGGGTTTCACTGTGTTAGCCGGGATGATCTCAATTTCCTGATCTGGTGATCTGCCTGCCTTGGCCTCCCAAAGTGCTGGGATTACAGGCGTGAGCCACTGCGCCTGGCCTGGGAAGAATAAATTTTAAGGAAGAATAATGCATTGAAACATTCTTGACACCAAAATTGTGCTGATGACCATTTCATCACTGAGATGGTTCTGAAGGACCTTCCAGGGCCTGGGGCTGTGGTGAACCTTCATTCTTCCTGTTCCTGCTGCTGGGAAGCCTCAATGACAGCATTGGGAGAGAGGGCTCCTTTTTGACTGTACATCATCTTATCAGATCTGTGTGTCTCCGAAGGCACTCAGGAGTGGCGATAGCAATTCACCAAAAGGTTTGTTGCTGAAACACCAGCTGCCAGGGCCTGACCTCGACAGGGAGGACAAACTCGATCGCTTCAGCCATGCTGGGACTTGCTGAAAGCAGGTCTCTGTGCTCTGAATCTGCTCGGCCCAGCAGATTCCTACCAGTGACCAGAGAAGAGCTAGGACAGGGAACGAAGCACAGATGGCCCCAGAATTCAAATGTCAAAGACAAAACAAGAGCCTTCACTGAGCAACCAGACTCTTCCAGAAAAGCGAGTTCAACAAGCTTCTCTGTCTAAATGCAGAATCTGTCATCCTCACTCCCACTGTCAGAATTACCTGGGGAGTGTGTTCTAACTACTAGTTTTTATGGGCTTTGCTCCAGGAGATTCTGATGATGTGGTCTGTAGGGCACTCCAGAAACCTGCATTTTTCATAGCGCCCTGGAAATGCTAATGATCAGCAGGTCTGGGAGCCCCTGGCTTCAAATTGTGAAGCAGCAAAATAGCTGGACGCAGGTGGGTTGACTGCAGAAAGGCATGGAACCCTAAAGCCTGATATTGAGAAATCAAATAGAAAAACTGTAGCACAACAGAAGGATGAGCAATGGACAGACGGACAGGTGAGTAGAACACCTATACTAACTCCAGAAGCATAGCAGATGCAGGTTAATTTGTACAAGGATCGGCCATTTTAATTCCTTTTCAGAAGAAGGCAAGGTGTCAGTTAAGCGGGGGAACAGCCGGCCCCATCCCATCCATGACACATGCTTACAGCAACGACCCAGTCACGGAGGAAGGGTTCACTGATATTTACCAACCAGGCTTTTAAAAGGGAAAAGGGGACTGGAGGTGGTGCCTCACACCTGTCACCCCAGAAATTTGGGAGGCCAGCACAGGATCATGAGGTCAAGAGATCAAGACCACCCCAGCCAAGGTGGTGAAACCGTCTCTACTAAAAATACAAAAATTAGTTGGACATGGTGGTGTGTGCCTGCAGTCCCAGCTATTCGAGAGGCTAAGGCAGGAGAATCGCTTGAACCTGGGAGGCGGAGGTTGCGGTGCGCAGAGATCGCGCCACTGCACTCCAGCCTGGTGACAGAGTAAGACTCCATCTCAAACAAAAATAAATATAAAAAATAAAAGGTAAAAAGGGTCCCATCTCAGACAAATAAAATGTTTACACGTTTCTGGCACTTTAAAATGGACCTTAGGCCAGGTGTGATTCCTCACACCTGTAATCCTAGCTCTTGGGGAGGCTGAGGTGGGCGAATCACCTGAGGTCGGGAGTTCAAGACCATCCTGGACAACATGGTGAAACCCCATGTCTACTGAAAATGCAAAAATTAGCTGGGTGTGGTGGTACATGCCTGTAGTCCCATCTACTTGGGAGGCTGAAGCACAAGAATTGCCTGAACCCCGGAGGCGGAGGTTGCAGTGAGCCCAGACTGCACCAATGCACTCCAGCCTGGGCAACAGAGTGAAACTCTGAAAAATAAAAAAAAAAGGACCTTAAAGATCGAAGCCACAGATGAATGAAGCACACACCACCAGTTTCTGGACAGTGAATGCCTCTAGGGAGGGAGCGATGAAAGAGGGTGGGAGAGGTGGGCCCAAGCATTTGCTGTATCTTCAAAGATATGTTTTCTTCAACATGGGGAGAGAATAAACAAAGCAAATATGATGACATGTTAAATTTGCATGAAATCTGGAGTTGGGCACACGAATATCCATGATATTGTTTGCTGTGCTTTTCTGATTCTTTTAAATATTTCACAATTAAAATGTTCAGAGTGAATTGTAGGATTCCAAGTCAGTCTGTGAAATGTGTATACTGTTGGACCCAGCACTTCTGCTTCTGGAAATGTACCCTAAGGATATCACAAAGGGTGTGCAAGGATAGTGTATATGCAGGCAAGAAAAAGCTCTGGGAAGTATACCCAAGCGTGTTAAGGGGATGCGTATCTCTGGATGGTCGGGGAATTATATTTTTGGTCTTTCGCAGTTTCTAGGTTTTCTGCTATGAATACACACTACCTTTTGTAATAAGAAGAAAGTAAGAAGGAGGAAAAGGAGAAGAAGAAAAGCTCAGTTACACTGCAAATTCACGGAGGTGCAGTCTCATTCCAGCTCTGGGGGATAAATGAGATACTCCAGTATTACAACACTTAATAGGATACACTTACTATGGTTGTTTTCCCCGAGGCGGGTGGACCTAGTATTACAATCCTCGGCACTGTGGAATAAAAAGATTTGAATGTCACCACTCAGCATGACAAGCAGCCTTCCACGTCTGCAGTACTCGGAGTGTACTTACTTCTTCCCTCCCCAGATTTCATTTTCTGCCAGTGACATGGCCATCTGTAACCCAGCGGCTCAGAGGCACTCTTGCCACGGAACATATTCTCTGTGTTTAGAGAGCTTAGTGATCACCAAGATGGTTTATTCTTCTACCTCCAAGGGGACATGGACACGGTAACTTGTTTACCAAACCCATAAATATCAAGAGCAATTGGGATTTCAAACACCATAAAGCATTTTAAACAAGGACTTTGTCTCAGGGAGGCTCTCTCCAATAAAGCTATAATTTATATAAATCGACCTTAGAAGCTTTCTTTTTTTTTATGTTTATGCCTTTTTATTTAGCAAATTGTATTCCCCATGATTTTACAGAGGGAAGTAATGGGAAAAGCCTGGAGTATATGAGCCAGATTTATAAAACCTGAGAAAGGAACATTTCTCAGGTTTTATAAACCGACGGACGTTTCTATGCAAATGGAAGACAATGGCAGCGTGTTTGATTTTAGTCTTGGCTGGTTTTGGTCCCACAGAATTCTTAACCCAGGCTACTGACAAGAGTGGGATGTGAACCAACAGCTCCTGGACCTGTGTGTGACCCAGAGTCTGGGCTCACCCAGCAGGTGAAGCTCTGGGGGCAGGCCCAGGCCCTGGCCTTTCCAGGCCCTGGAAAGGCATTTTCAGCTTCTGGCGGGGGAGAGCCAGGGCAGAGATTCAGCGGCCCTTTCTCTGTTCAAGGCCTGTAAGCTGGGGCAAAGCCTTCCAGGGCCCTCCCCGTAGGTGAGAGAAGCCGCTGTGGGTGGAAATACTTCTTGCAGGACAAGTCTGGGAATGAGCAGACTTTGAGGCCAGTGGTCAGGTGACAGGATGAGGTGAGATGGAGCTAGAGTGGCTGCTGGCGACCGGAGAAGAGATGACCAGCATGCTGAGAAGGGTGCTGGAAGGCATCACACTTGGGTCAAAATGAAGGGAACAGCAGTGGGGGCTGCACAGACGCACCCACACTGCCCACGTGCTGAACACCATCTTGATTGTGCCAGCTCTCCCTCCTTGTAGGGAGCTGGTAACCTTGGCCTGGCCCCTGACCCAAAGGGACAGATGAACAGACGTCCACTGCAACTCACATGAGCCTCTAACGTCTGCATGAGAGCCCCTTCCAGCCAGGCTTCTGGGAGGGAATCTTGTCTCAGCAGAGGAGGGAGGTGCATGGCCTTCTAGTTTGGAGGCAGACACAGAAAAGGAGATAGACAGCGTCCTTTTGGCCAGTAATTTAATGGTTAGCACATCTACACCCAGCGGCTGCTTGGGTTTAAATGGATCTTTGTCCAAATTCTTGGTACCTTCTCATTTTTGGAGGAAGTCAAGGTAACTCACTGAACGATCCTCTCCTCTGACCTCTGAAGCTGTGGACCTTCTTATTCTCCCTGTGGATGTTCCCTCCACGTTCCTGCCTTGCCACCTGTCATTTCCCATCAGGAACGTCCTCCCTCCCCAGCCCCTGGTACCCCCAGCCTCCCACTCCTTCTCCCTCCCTGAGATCCTTGTTCTTGCTCCCCTGCGGTGGCCCGTGATCAAGTGGCAGGCTGCTGCAGCCTTCGACGCTGGTGAATGTCAGCATGCTGCTGAGAAACAGGAGGAGTCGCTGTCCCCACAGGAAGAGAAGTTCCCAAGGGCAGAGACAGAGTCTCGTCCTCCTGGGTCACCCCATGGCACCTGGAACTGTGAGAAGCCACACAGAGTGAGCTTCAGGACCACCTCCTTGGCTGTCCCCATCTTGTTCTATGATCACCGTTTGTCACCTTTGTCACCAGCATTACTATGGTCTTAAAAAGGGCCCCCCTCTGCCAGTCAGCATGTTTGGGTAGAAGTGCAGGAAATGGATGAGTCAAGAAGAGAAGGGGGGTTGATTGCCCACTACTGCAATCCCAGCAGTTTGGGAAACTGAGATGGGCAGATCACTTGAGGTCAGGAGTTTGAGGCCAGTCTGGCCAACATGGTGAAACCTCGTCTCTACTGAAAATACAAAAAATTAGACAGGTGTGGTGGCACATGCCTGTAATCCCAGCTACTTGGGAGGCTGAGGCAGGAGAATCACTTGAACTCAGAAGGTAGAGGTTGCAGTGAGCTGAGATCACGCCACTGCACTCCAGCCTGGGTGACAGAGCAAGACTTCGTCTTAAAATATCTATATCGATTGATCAGTCGATCAATAGATAGGTAGATAGATAGATATAAAAACCAGCATGGCTCACAGAGTCCTGCACAGGTTGGGGAGCCAGGCCCTCAGGGCTACCCCACAGGAATAACACCCCAAGCAAGGCCACCAGATGGGCTGGGAAGACACCAGACAGTGCAGCCCGTGCCCATGATGCCACTGACACACGTGGGCACGGCACTGCCATCAACCATGCTGCCCTTCCCCCCAGGAACCAGGCCCTGCAGAGCTGCCAGGGAGTGCTCTGGGACCTGCCCGTGATTCCGAGTCTGGCAGGTGAAGCTCTGGTGGCAGGCTCGGGCCCTGACTGTCATGGAAGCTGGGAAGGTGTTTTTAGCTTCTGGGGTGGGAGCCAGGGTGGGCATTCAGTGGCCTATTCTCTGTTCTAGAGCTGTGGCCGGGGCAAGGCCTTCCAGGGCCCTCCCCGTGGGTGAGAAAAGCCACTCTAGGAAGCTGTAGGAAACACTCCTTGCAGGACAAGTCTGGAAACAAGTTGGCTTTGAGGACATGTGGTCAGGTGAGAGAATGAGGTGAGATGGGAGCCAGGGTGCCTTGGGAGGTTTCTGGGGAGGAGTGGCAGGAAGGGTGTTCAGGGTGGAGAAGCCTTGGCCCATGAGGCAGAGGGCTCACCTGGACCACAGGGAGAGCACCTGCTTGGCCAAAGTCGGGTGAGGGAGCAGTGGGGAACCTGGGTCTCCTCATGCAGCACTACCTGCTGCGTCTCCAGGGCTCTGACCACAGGCCCTGCTGAAGCTCCTCCAAAAACAGACAAGACCCAACGGGACTCAGTGGGCACAGAGCCTGAGGGGCAGGGAGATGCAGCTCGGCAATGGCCTTGGGGGATGAACCTGACTCCTGAGTCACGTACTCGCCTGAGAGTTGCTGGGCTGGGGGCTGCAGGGAAACCCTCCCCTTCTAGGTTCCCATAAGTGGCACCCAAATGGTACACATCTATGAACATACTTTAAAAGGGGAACATCCACGGCCTTTGTCCCCACCTAATTTCTCCCACACATTTATGTGATTAATTTCAGTTTCTTAAAATCTAACACCTTGAAACTCCAGCCCTGCTCATGAGTAATTATTTATAAACAGTGTCATAAAAGGCTGCTTGACTGCCAAGAGTAATCAACTTCTTCCAACCACTTCAAAGGAAATCAAAAAACCTTTCCATCCACAGATCCTTTTGAGGTTTAACTAGGAGCATGATTTAAAATTCACAAGAAAACCCTTAGGTATTGGAGCTCTAATACACGGCTTTCTTGGACAAACGTTTGATAAAAAACGAAACATACCATTATATACACCATCGCCTGCTTTAATATTGCCCAGGGCTACTGTAAATGCTCACTTTGTACTAAATCTGCTTTTCTTGCGGCGAAGGGGCTGCCAGCCCATGTGCCGGGCTCCCTCTGCTCCCTCATGCGCTCACTCACCGCGATGAGTCCTGGGTCTCCTCTCCCTCTACCCCAGTCACCAGCCACGTCACTGCATGTGGCAGTTAATCCCAGGCCCAGCAAGAGGAAGGGGTGAGGTCCTGGCTATAGTTAGCAGACGCTGCTGCGTGGCTGGAAGGGGGCAGGATGACCTGACACACCAGCCCGGAAGAACAAAAACATACACGGGACGTCATGGGTTTCTCCAAGCCTCCTGCACTCTTCTAGGACACATGAGGGTTCGGCTTAGCTGATTCAGGCTTCTCCCTACTCCTAGACAAGTCGCCAAGGCAGGGCAGTCTCCCCTCCTCCTTCACATTTCTGCTCCACTTGTCTGCAGACGCTTGGGAAAAGGGAGAGAAACCCATGGGTGTCCCTCTCTTCTTTCCATTTCAGTGGTTGGGATTTGAGCCAAAGGACAAAATGTTCCAACGTCCACAAAAGCCACCAGCTGAGGCCTGCAGTGGGGTACAGGGCTGTGGGGAACAAACTCCCCAAAACAGTGGGTCCTGGGACCCAGTGACTCTACTCCCTGAGAGCATCTGGGCCAAGAGCTTGACTCGGCTATTCAGGAGGACAGACAGGAGGCTGGCCCCCAGCTAGAGATGGCACAAGGCAGGTCTGGATCCTTCATCCCTGCTCGAGAGCAATGGAGCAGGTGCAATGCAGAGAAAGGAGCAAGGGCTCCATGGAGGGAGCCTCTGGGAAGCCCCAGACCTGCGGGTGAAGGGAAAGGGGCGCTGAGAAGAGTGGGAAGAGGAGATGAAGGGACGGAGGCGGGAGCAAGGGTGGTTGTCCAGCCGACATCAACTACACTGCATCCAAACCAAAAAGAGGATGTTTAAACTTCAAAATCCTGATGAAGTGGATAGTTTGACATTGAAATTAAAACTGCACACAGAGGGGCAAGATCAAAACATAAAGAGATGATTGAATCTGCCTCAAATTTCTTGAGATTCAAGGCTCTTGAATTTCTGGGCTGGGGAACTAGGTAAGCCTTGATGTTAGTGGTTTAAAGACACAGACGGCAGGGCACAGTGGCCCATGCCTGTAATCCCAGTGCTTTGGGAGGCCAAGGCAAGAGGATCACTTGAGCTCACGGGCACAGACCTTGGCAACACAGTGAAACCCCATCTCTGTAAAAATATTTCAAACATTAGCCAGTGCAATAGCATGCACCTGTAGACCCAGCTACTCAGGAGGCTGAGGCGGGAGGATCGCTTGAGCCCAGGAGGTCAAGGCTGTAGTAAGCTATAATTACCCCACTGTACTCCAGTCTGAGCAACAGAGTGAGACCCTGTCTCTAAAAAAAGAAAAAAAAAAAAAAAGAGAGAGAGAGAGAGAGAGAAAGGAAAGAAAAAAAGAGAAGAGCACAGGGCATGCCCCAAGTAGGATTTTCAAACAGTAGGAAGTGTCAGTGCAACCTAATTTATGAGAGTTCAAGTTATTATTATCAGGCATTTTTTTTTTTTTTAGAAAGTTTCACTATGTCGCCCAGGGTGGAGTGCAGTGGTGTTCAAGGTGCAGTCGCGGCACTGTGGTCTCAAACTCCTGGCCTCACGCGATCCTCCCATCTCAGCCTACGAAGTACCTGGAGCTACAGGTGCACCACCACACCCAGCTGTCAAGCACAATTTTTTTCTTTTTTTTGAGACACGGTCTCACTCTGTCACCCAGGCTGGAGTGCAATGGCAAGATCTTGACTCACGGCAACCTCCACTTCCCAAGTTCAAGCGATTCTCCCGCCTCAGTCTCCTGAGTAGCTGGGATTACAGGCATGTGCCACCACGCCCAGCTAATTTCTGTATTTTTAGTAGAGATGGGGTTTCGCCATGTTGGCCCGGCTGGCAAGCACAGCTTTTAATTTAGATAAATCTATGAAGCTTATCACCAGTGGAAACTCGACATCGCATCCCTAGGAGCCCCCTACCCATGCGTGCAGCAGGGATGTCCCATTCCTTCAGCCACCACTGACCAGACCAGAGCTTCACGGCTTCCCTCTGGGTTAACCAAACACATCTGTTTTACAAATGAGGGAAGTGAGGTCAAAGAGCAACCATCTCTCATGGTCTCTATATTTTCAGATGAGTGAGCTGAAGGGTCCCTGGCAGTGGCGGGGGCAGGGTGGCAGGAGAGGCCTGCGCCCCGCCGTGAGGTTGGCTTTGTCTTACTCTGATTTACTTTAGCTGTTGCTTGGCCCCTTTTTCACTTTTATTTTGTGTTTCCTTTTACTTTGCTTTCCCTTTGCTGTCCATCCTTTCTCTGGTGGTGGCAGTGTAAGGTAGTTGCGTGGAGGCAGGGATGCTATCCACAGCCCTGGAATAACACCCAAGCCTCCATGGGGGCGAGGGGAGTGTGGGAACTTCTTCCTTGGCAAATGGAGTCAGTGAGGCCTGGGGGCAAGCCTAAGTCTGCAGCAGTAAGGGACACTCAGGAGGGCAGGGTGGCTTTAACACCCACCCTAAGAGCAGGTGAATCTGGAGAGGCAGAACCTCCCACCTGTGCCATATAATAAACAGCAAACCAGAGAAAGGAGGTCTCTAAGAGTCACTGCAGGACAGAATAAACTGCACTAGGAAGGTGGGGTTGGGGAGACTGAAAATCAGACACTGGGAAGGGGGTTCCGAGGCCACCCCAGCACCGCTCCACCCCTGCCTGGGCACAGGGACTCTCAGTCAACATCTGCTGAACGAGGGAATGCCCAGTGAATCGGCCATTTGTGCCTAACTAGAGGCTCAGAAAAGGGTCTCTTTGTGGCCCCTTTGTAGGGTCTCTCTTTGAATCTGCCCACCTAGTTCCATGCAGTGGCATCAGGACCTAAGATTCCATCATCCACCTGCTCTGCAGCCAGGCCTGGATGTGTCAGGACCCCCATGCAGGACATGAGGAAAAGGCTTGAAACCTCCTCTCTCACCTGTTTCTCTCTTTCCTTCTCTCGTCCTTCTTTTCCTCCCTCCCTCCTTTCTTTCTTCTTTCTCTCTTTCTTTATTCCTAGCTTCATTTCTCACCTTGGGCCTTCTGAACGTCTGCACTGGGCATCTCAGGCCTCTGTCTTCAGCTGTACCAAGTGCTAATTTCACTGGTAAGTGTAGCTCCTTTAAAGCAGCTAATGCTCCAATGAAAGAAACATAAAAGCTCCCAGACATCAGTCCTCCCCAACAGCTCACAGTGGACGGGACTGATCCTCTCTTGGCAAATCGACTGTGGAGTGGAGTAGAAAGGAGGGACCTTCCTTGTGTGAGCGCCTCCCTCCCCCCCAGTTCTGTGCTCTGGCCTTGGGTCTGGCTGACCTGCACTGGTCGATTGCAAAGGTTTGCGGAGCTCGGAAACTCATTAACAGGTGCCAATGATGAGACCGTTGGAAAAGCCCAAGTGCTTGCCTGTCTAGGTAGACCAGAAACCAAACTTACACCAGTGGAGTGATGAGAGAGCTGAAACCTAACGCAACATCAACTAGGGCAGGCGAAAGCACTAATAATTGATTCCATAGGCCATTCTGGGGTTTTCATTTTAATAACTTGGCAAGAAAATTTTTACAAGTTGGGCTCCAAAAGAAACTAACGCATTTTTCAATTAACCGCCACCTCAAGTTGTTGAAACCCCTCCCTTCTGACCTCCCTTCAGACACAGGTAGGACAGAATGGTGCTCAGCTATTCTCAGGGTTGGGTAGGGTCCCTGAAGAGGAGGAGGAGGAGGAGGAGGCAGAGGAGCTGGGGAAGAAGGGGAAGGAGGAGGAGGGAAGGGGAAGATGGGGAGGGGAAGCCCCAGCCAGTGCTCACCATTGTCGTTGTCTCTACGCAAGTGTTGGATCATGAAGGGGATGGGGTCCTCAGGCTGGTGGATCAGAAGTTGCTCCAGCATGTTCTGTAGGTACAGGGCAGACACCCAGGTTATTACTACCTGCAGGGACACCTGGTCACCATAGATGCTAGCTATGGGGCCTGCTTTCTCCACTGCACCCCACCAAACATGCCTTCGGCCTGGGACCCAGCTCCTGCCAAAACTGGCATCTGCTTGGGTCCTCATGAACAGAGGCGTGAGTGGGGCCACGTGGTGCTGCTGGGGAGCACCTAGAGGGAGGCAGAAGTGGAGGAGCCTCGCCCTGATTCAGAGTAGGCAGTCCCAAGGCCCTCTTCCCTGGGGCCCTTTGGGCTTCCCAAACAAGCCTTCTCCAAGTTCTTAAGCATCACTGTTCCCCTCAGAGCCTTGGCAGATGAAGCTCCTTCCTCATTTTCATCCTGGCTAATTTCTGCTCAGTCTCAGATCTCAATGGGAACATACCTTCTTGAGTATGTGCACTAGGTAAATATGTCAGATGCTCCTGTACCTGCCTGCAGGCATCGCCGTGTTTCATGCCTCACCCTGTCCCTACTCACCAAGCCATCATTCTCTCAGCAGGCCATGCGTTCTGTGGGCTTCCTCGTCTACCTAGAGCCCTCCTGGAACCCCAATGCCTGACAGTCATAGCAGATGCCCAGTGCAGATGTTTGTTGGGAAACAGACCATCACCACTACCTGTGTCCCTCCAGAATGGAATGGAATATTTACCAGCCAGATTTCTAAATAGTCCTGGGATAGTCTGGCCATTTCATCCAATCAGGCAAACATATCAAGGGTAAGTGGCTTCTGGGGTCGCAAAACCCTAGGCACAGAAATCAGAGGGAGCTGACAGCAGCTGTGCTGTCACAATAAGGGGTATCCTTCAGCCCCAGGGGCAAGGAGGGAAAGGGGCTCCAGCCCTCTGGGAGCGAAGGGAGTGTGGGGCAAGAAAAACAGCACCGAGCCATGGGAAGTCTTGGTTCCAGCCCCACTGTATCTCATCAGCAAGCCCCTTCCCTTCTCTGGGCCTTAGCTTCTCTAACCATTCAGTAGCACAGCTGGAGTGAATTCATGTTTGTATATCACTGGCGTGATGGAATGAGATGATTTTAGATGGTTCACACATAAATATTTTAAATTTCATGTTTAAATCATCATGTATTTAATGTGTATTGGAAAACTAAGTACACCAAATCTATAATTTCAAGGATATCACTTAGGAGGAGGCAAAGCAGCTATTTAATTTTTTAAAAGTTGAGTTGATTTCAACAAGTGATTAGTTCAAGTGGAAATGCAGTAGTGGTTATGCGAATCTGTACATTTGATAAATGCACAGAACTGTAAGCACAACAAAAACATCCATGCAGGCAAAAAAGGAGGAAATCCAAATCAGGCCTACAGTCCAGGTAATCCTGCTGTACCGATACCAGTTTCCTGGTTTTCACAATGTGCTACAGTTATGTTAGATGTTATCACTGGGGCTACTGGGGGAGACCAGATATCCATATTTTCTAACTTCCTATGAATCTAAAATTATTTTAAAATAAAAAGTATAAAAAATGAAAATGATCAAAACCATGGAGGGAATACACAGATGACTAAAACTGGAAATACTGGACTAAAAGCTTTCTTGTTGGAGGCTGAGGCAGAAGGACTGTTTGAGTCTAGGAGTTCAAGACCAGTATGGGCAACATAGCAAGACCTCATCTCTACTAAAATAAAAAATAAAAAAGATCAGCCAGGTATGGTGGCCTGCACCTGCAGTCTCAGCTTCTCTGGAGGGGCTGAGGCAGAAGCACTGCTCGAGCCCAGGAGTTCAAGGCTGCAGTAAGCCATGACTGCAGCACTGTGCTCCAGCCTGGGCAACAGTGCAAGACCCTGTTTCAAAATAAATAAAAGCTTTCTTGAGCAATTCCTCCAACAATCACTGTGAAAAACACATCAGGTTCTCTAGAGTAGACCACAGGGCTCCAGATGCTCCCCTCCTGTCCTCACCTGTTGACTTCTAACCCAGCTAGCTATTTTATTCTGATTGGCCAGTCAAGCAGTTTTAGGAATCACTCGCAATCCCTCGATCAGTTAACACTTTCCGAGGAAAACATGTTTGCTGAAGGTACAGACACAGGTTTCTTAGTCTGGGCTCAGCTATCCAGTGTGCAGGACAGAGGCTCGCATGACCACAGACACCACCATGCCCTCCCTGCCATTACCCCTGGATATGGGGTGTACCCTGAGAAGCAGACAAATGTTCTGGAAGCTGAGCTCCAGCTTCCCTTTGCCTCTCAGAATCTTTGAGTAGCTGAGAGTTCTTCCCCTCTAGCTCCTGAAAGCCTTGACTCCCATCAAGTGCAGAAGGGAAAACTGAGACCACGGCGGGGGCGGGGCCTTGCCGAGGATCACATGGTGAGCTACAGGGGCCCAGTCACAGGTCCGGACCCAGGATGAGAGCTTTGGAGCTGCCGGGGACGTCTGGCCCTGAGGAGGAGGGGCCAGGGTGGGAAATGCTGCTGTCCTAGAGGCGGCCCTCTCGGAGGATGGAGATGCCAGCTTGAACTCGGACAACGCCCACCTCAGAAACCTGGGCCGAGAAGCTCCCCACCAATTCGACAGATGGGAATTCTCAGCGTCGGGAAAGCCCCGGGAGACCACCTCTTGGAACCTGGCATTTCACATGTGGGGAAACCGAGAAAAGGAAAGGACTGGTTTCAGACCATAAGCCCGCTGGCGGCACAGCCAGGGCCAAAATCCCGGCCCGAGTGGCCTCCTGCCTCCCCCTGGGTCCGCCCGAGGCCGACCCGAGCAGGGCCAGAGGGCGTCCCCAGCTCGAGGGCCCCCTCGGGGTCACGGCGACACACTAATCGGACACCCGGAGCTGGGCTCCTTCGTGGGCTCCCGACTCGGCCCCAGCTGCGCGTTCCGGCCGCGCACCCGACGTCGCAGTGGAGGCTCCCGAGCCGCCGCCGACGTCGCGACAGGCAGGGCTGCCAGGTCACCTGCATCAACTCGAAGATGTGGTTCGCCTCCCCGTACTGAGGCATCTCGGGTGGGATACGGTGCGGGGCTGTAGACGCGTCCATGCAGCCGTCGCGGCGCGCCGCTCCCTAGTAACAGCGTCGCTAGGGCCGCCGCGCCGGCTGCGTCATCAGCGCGCGCCGCGGCCCCGCCCCGCAGACTCCTCCGCGCCCTGCCAGGGTTCCGGAGCCTCAGTCTTGCGCGTCGCCCCCGCCCCGACCTCCCCGGCAGACGCGCTCGGCGGCTCGGGCAAGTTCTTTCCCCAACCCGGGCCTCGCTTTCCCCATTTGAGCATCTTAGCGGGGACACCCTCAGGCGGATTCCAGCTGGGCCTCCTCGGATTTGAGACCCCCGACGAAACCCAAGAGGGGCAAGTCGGCCCCCCGAGGTGGCGGGAGGCAGACCCTGCTTCTGGTTCTGTTAGCACTCCCTGTCCTCCCCCGCTGCCCCCGCTCCCTATGCCTCAGTTTCCCCATCTTTAACAGACGCAGGAATAGATGTGGGACAGGCTGCTTGAACAGGGAGGGGCGTCTATGGGACAGGCCGGAGGTTCGAGGATCGGGTGGAAATCCTCAGCCCAACTCCTAGCGTCCAGGCCCGGGAGACCTCTCCTCCCGCTCCCGGGCTCACGCCGAGCGGCCACGTGACCCGATTGCTATGGCACCGGCAGTAACAATGAGGCCCGCGGCCCCGCCCCTTCTTACCGGACCTCCCCACCCATCCCCGCCTCCCAGGCCCTGGGGTGGGCCTCCCCCACCCTCCGGGGCCCCCCCCACCCTCCGGGGCCCCGACACTCCCGGAGTCACTCCAGTTTCAGGGTGCTCTGTGGACCGAAGAGCGCTCTAGGACAAGCAAGGGTAAACAGGGACGAAGGTGGGTAGGCCCACTCGAACCCCACCCCTGCCTCTGGGTCAGAAACTGGAAGCTGGAGTGGAGGATAGAAAGATGGAGGGGTCCGGAGGATAGAGGGGCCTGCACAGCTGTCTCTGGGACGCGAGGGTGAGGTTCGACTGGAGACTTTCCGAGTTGTGTGAATTCCCAGTGGTACGGGGTTGCCTGGTATTTTATTGGTCGCAACAATGAATTGGGAGCTCTAGCTCTGGTCTGTTGCCATTAATAGTAGGAGTTACCGTTTGTTGGACTCTTAACTTTGTGCTCACGGCAAAACTCTGTTGTCTCTGTACCTTATGGAGAGGGAAAATGGCACAGTCAATGCTTACAGCCCAGATGCAAGTCCCGGCTCCATTTCTTACTGTGTGGGCTTGGCAAACTCTTCACTTGTTTGTGCCTCACTTTCCTCCCCTGTGAAGCGGGGGGCTGCTGAAGGATTCCAGGAGCTGATGTATTGGAGAGTAATTGGCATGCAGTAAGCACACGATGTATGGGGCTACTATTAGTAGTAGTGTCTCGTTTAATCGTTCCAACAACCTTCATTCCCATTTTACAGGTGAGAAATTGGAGGATTAGAACAGTGAGGACTGGTTGGCTGGGTAACTTTGGGTAAGTCGTGTTCCCTTTCTGGGCTTCTTCCCTTATCAATTGTTGATGATACAACCTTAGAATCAGAAGGCCCCTTGAAGAAGAGGCTCATCCAAACTGTCTCATTTGACAGATGGATAAACTGAGGCCCAGAAAAGGGAGAAATCTTGGCTAGGGCATGAACTCAGCATCCAGGCTCCAGCTAAAGCCCTTTTCTACCAGCCAGCAGCCCAGAGACATGCCCTCCCAACGTAAAAGCCAGCACTGTTGCCTCTTCCCCTCCAAACTCCTTCCTCAAAGTGTGCACAGTTTGGTAGGCTTGTCAAAGCCAACTGTAAAGATAGCTGGGGAAGAAAAGGAAGCTGCCTCCCCCTGAGCAAAGAACGCAACAAGCAAGCCTGCCATCTGCACTGGAGAGGTTTGGTTTGCTTCCTGGACATTTCTGAAATGACTTGCCCTTCTCCTCATTTATTTTAAGCCCTAGGCGCTTTTCATACCATGATTTAATCTTCTTTAGCAGCCTGGAAAAATACAAATCAATTAAAGCCTAAAACCTGTGGGTAATCATTTTTTTTCTCCCTCCTCCAGATCGAAAAGTGCCCGTACCCTGTGCCTTTTATCCACACTAATTTGGCTGCAGTGGCTCTCATTCAAGGGCCGATCACTTCGGATAGCTTATTACAGCTCCTCTCATGACATTCGTGGTGTGCATGTCACAAGTTACTAGGATCAAGAGTGGAGTCAGTTTTGCTCTCAGGGGCTCTTGGGGCCACCAGCCAAGGTAGTGCTGTATCCCTGGAGAACTTGACAGCCCCAGGGAGCTGGGCCCACAAAGGGCAGCCCCTTGAATGTTTAGTCCTGTTTGTTTTGGGTCAAGAAAAAGGGAGAGTCTAGTGGTAATGGAAGTGGGGCCTAGGGCTAGGGGTCTAGCCAGTGCATGAACTGTAGCGAGGTCAGGCAGCTCGTCAAGGCCTTCGCAGTCCCTATCCTCACTGCCGCAGTCAACTCTGATGTCTGGTGTGTTTGTCTCTAAGTACTACCAAGGGAAGGGGAGGAGGGAGGGAGGAGGAAGGGAGGGATCCAAGTTAAGAGCCCAGACTTTATAAAATAGCCAGGCAGAGCCAAGCAGGAAGTCCTGACTTGCGCATTCCTTATCCGGCCTCACTTTCCGACCTATCCTGTGAGGATAACCATGGCACCTCGCTCCAGGGCTGCCTAGAGCCCCATCAGGCGACCCCCCGCTCTTCTCAGGAGGACTGAAGTGAGCCACCCTTCTTCAGCCCAGGATCTAAGCACAGCTCCAGCTCTTCCAGCATGATACCCACCCTCCTCCTGCAAATGCCCCTCCTGCAGATGGTGGCCCTTCATTCTTGAGGTTCCCACCTGCTTCCCTGCTGTGTTTCCTCCTTATCTAAAATGCTGTTCGTTTCACTCTTCTGCATGGTCTACCTTCCCCTGTGAAAGATGAGTTCCTCCAGGGCAGCGAATCTTGTTGGCTAGCCCAGCACCTGAATAGCACCTGGCACACAGTATGAGTGCACAAGGGAATGAGTGCATGCATGAAGTGCTTTTCACCGCCTTGGCTTAGAAGCCTCCTGCCGTTCTTTCAAATGCTTCTCCTGACACTGGGGTCCCTCAGCCTGACCCTGTCCACTGCCCTCTTCTGCACCTGCTTACAGCAGTCCCACATCCCCACCCCCCAACCTCTAGCCCAGGTTCCCACCCCCACTGCATACCTACTTTACCTCTCCACAGCCTCCTCTTTCTCAAGTCCAGGTTCAAACTTCCCCTCCTCTAGGAGGTCAAGTCCTCAGCAGTTCCTGCTTCGTTTGAGGGCCACACTGTGCTTGTGGTGTCCCCTGTTACTGCACACACCCATGCTTCAGCCACAGTAGCGTTGATGATTCTGATGATGGCACCGCCACATTCCAGGCTCCATGGTCAACGCCACACACCTCTGGTCTCATGTCAGCTCCCCCCAGGCTGGGAGGCTGCTGCACACTGAGGCTTAGGGAGGATGGGCAGCTTGCCCAAGTTCGACAAGAAGGGGTGGAAGCAGGATTTGAATCCAGGCCTTTGTGACTCTGGGCCTTCTCAACCACCACCAGCCACAGCTATGAGCATGATGGGAAAAAGCCAGGCCAAAAGGGCACACACCCCTTCTCCTGGAACTCCACTTATGTGCCATCTCTCACTTCTCTGGAGCTTCAACTTTATGTCATTTGTAAGCCCTGGGCCAGGATTAGGGCCAGGCGAGTGATCACTCTCAGCACAATACTTAAGGGGATGTCAACAATTCAGTCTTTGAGGTGGATGTTTTAATGCAATATTTTAAAAAATCAAAAACAGTGCCTAAAATCCATTTAGAATAACATGTCAAAAGTTTAAGTCAAGGCAGACTCAGTATCACTGATTTTTCCTTTCGCCTCAGGCTTCAGTACGGCAAGATACAGCAATCTTTTCTTTAAAAATTCTGATGTTGCCAGCACATGCTTATAATCCCAGCATATTGGGAGGCTGAGGTGGGAGGATCGCTTGAGCCCAGGAGTTCGAGACCAGCCTGAGCAACATAGGGAGACCCCATCTCTACGAAGAAAGAAAAAAAAGTAGTCAGGCATGGTGGCATGTACCTGAGGTCCCAACTACTCAGGAGGCTGAGGCAGGAGGATCTCTTGAGCCCAGGAAGGTCAAAGTTAGAGTGAGTTGTGATCACACCACCACATTCCAGCCTGCATGAAAGAGCAAGACCCCTTCTTTAAAAAACATTTTTGGCACCGGTCATGGTGGCTCACACCTGTAATCCCAGCACTTTGGGAGGCCGAGGCAGGCGAATCACCTGAGGTTGGGAGTTTGAGACCAGCCTGACCAACATGGAGAAACCCTGTCTCTACTAAAAATACAAAATTAGCTGGGCGTGGTGGTGCATGCCTGTAATCCCAGCTACTCGGGAGGCTAAGGCAGGAGAATTGCTCGAACTCAGGAGGCAGAAGTTGCGGTAAGCCAAGATTACACCATTGCACTCCAGCCTGGGCTACAAGAGTGAAACTCCATTTAAAAACAAACAAACAAAAAACAAAACAAAACAAAACAAAAACAAAAAAAAAAAAACGTTTTTGGCACTGGGGCACTGGGTACAGTGACTCATCCCTATCATTCCAACACTTTGGAAGGCTGAGAAAGGTGGATCACTTGAGGCCAGGAGTTCAAGACCATCCTGGCCAATATGGTGAAATTCTGTCTCTACTAAAAACACAAAAAATAGCCAGGTGTAGTGGTACACGCCTGTAATCCCAACTACTCTGGATACTTTTTTTTTTTTTTTTTTTTTGTGAGATAGGGTCTCACTGTTTCAACCAGGCTGGAGTGCAGTAGTGTGATCATGGCTCATTGTAGCCTTGACCTCCTGGGTTCAAGCAATCCTCCTGCCTCAGCCTCCCAAAGTGCTGGGATTACAGGCATGAGCCACTGTGCCTGGCCTATTTTTATCTTGATTGCTGAGTTTTTTGGTAGCTCCTTAAGTTTTGCATGGAGGCAAGTACCTCCCTCGCCTCACCCTAGTTGGGCCCGGGTGAACCAGATACCATGGGAGGCTCAACAGGGAACCTCTGCCAAGGATATGGCAGGTGTGAATAAACCATGGGCCCTTCACCTCATTCCCCAGCCTTGGCTCTCCTTTCCATGGGAGGTTGTGCTGGAAACAGGCCCCTGCCCTGCCTGCCCTGGCTCTAGCCCAGGCCCAGGCCCGCCCCAGGGGAGCTGCAGCTGTCCCTGTGTCTGTTGACAGTCACAGCGCTGTGGCTGTGCTGCAGAAGTGTGCTCTCTCGTCTTTCCAAGGCTGTTGTCTGTCTAAGGCAGCCTTGCTGGCTCTTGTCTCCAGGGACACTCCATGGCTGGGCTCTATCTTGCTAAAGGGCCTCTTCCCTAGCCTTCTCCAAGTTCTCCGATTTACCACACCTGCATCATCTCACTGAGGCCATCTCCTGGTCTGTTCTTGTGTTTACTTTCATTCCTCTGATGCCATCTCCTCTTGCATCAACTGGGGATGCTCCCACTACCCCCGGCCATACCCCCAGCTCCAGACCTGCTCTGGACACAGCAGAAACAAATACTCCTGGCCCTATCTTGTTCTCGTTCCTCTCCACCTGGGACCTGCTTGGAAGCTTGGAATGTGCCTTCTCTGCCCCGTGCATGCTGAATGTTCTGGCCCCTTCCACCTACAACATCTCCCTTGGGCCAGACCTGACCTTAGCACAGCCTCCTCTGACCCCTGCTCATGTGCGGATACGTTCGAGCCTGGACTTTGTACTGGAGGCAGTGGAGGGGCAGCACTGAGGATGCTGGTTAGATGTAAGGAAGCCTAGAACCCAGGGTGTCTTGGGCACAACTTGCTGTGACACCCTGGGTAAATTCTTTCCTTCTGAGCCTCACTTTCCCCCTAGAAGCTCAAGGGAGTTGGCCTTCTGAGTCCCTTCCAGCTCTAACATGATAGAAATGCGTGAACTGGAGCCCTTTGCATGCACTCAGCAAAATTGTGATGTCATGGAGCACAGACCTGCAGACTCTTCTGCTCACAGGAGGTTTGTAGACGCTCTGACGACCACCCAAATCAAAGCAGGGACAGTCTGCGAGGTGCCGAGAGACAGCCCTCCCCACAGCCTCCAGGTTACTGATCATGGCTTTCCAGCAATTAACAGGGGACAGGGAACAGTCTGCTAGCCACCAGCCCTGCCCCGAGAATGTGCAAACCTGACATCAGGGCTCCTGCCCCCAGCACAGAGCAGGCAGACTCATGTCTCCTCAAACTAGACCGTCGAGTATTGATTCTTCTCCCCGCTTAATCCATGGGAAGGATTTCCCAGACTTTCCTACCAATTGCAGAGCGGCAGATGCTTTAAAATAATTGGATCCAAACTGATAATCTCCTGGTTTTATTTCCTGTGGCATAACCCTTGATCCCAGGTTTTGCTGACACCACAGCAAGGGACTGGAGACTCTGTGTGCATGCGTGTGTGTGTGCATGTGTGTGTGTGTAGATAGCCACATCTGGAGAAACTGAGGACCAGAGAAACTCTGTCCACAGCTGAGGGAAGAAGTCACATTTCATGGCAAAGAATGTGTCCATAGAGGGTAAATTTCAAGGTCAGGCTCAGCTGTGTCGTGGACAGTCTGGGGGGTCTGGACAAGGGTGCAGCCTCCCAGGGCCTCGCTTTCTTCTGTGGGGAGGCGCTCACAAGGCGCTCCAGTGAGAGGGGCCGTGGGTATCCCTCTCACCCAACAGTCCTCCTCTCCGGAGCTGGATCCCAGCGTCAGGTCCCAGAACCTCATCCCTATCCTCTTTCTCCCAGTAGATTCCTCCTCTCCTGTAAATGACCACAGAGGAAGACAATGAATGAAGTGAAAGAATGCCTCCGCGGCATCGAGCAGAAGTACAAGCTCTTCCAGCAGCAGCAGTTCACTTTCATCGCTGCACTGGAGCACTGCAGGGAGAACGCCCACGACAAGATCCGGCCCATCTCTAGCATAGGACAGGTTGTGCTCCCAACCCCCACCGCGGGTGAGGGGCAGCAAGCCCAGCCCCGTCTCATGAAAGATGAACCCACCGGGGCCCAGGGAGGGGAAGCACGTTGTGCCAGAATCAGACTCAGAACCTAAATGGTGGAATGAGTCCTTCATTGGTTTCTCCACCAAATATGTAAGTGAATAACACAGCAGTTAAAGAGGCAGGCGCAAGACTCAGCCGGCCAGGGCTTAAGTCCTAGCTCTACCACGTGCCACAGCTTGGGCCAGTGACTTCACCTTTCTATGTCCTCATCTGTGACACAGGGTCAGTGGTCACCCATGGAAAACTGGGGATTTATTGGGGACCAGAAGGATCTCGTCCCCCCCGTCAGGTTCCACTGGCGGTTGAGGAATTGCAGCATGCCAGGCACACCGCCAGGTGCTTTCTCAGATGCTTTTGTTTAACTTGCATCTTCTCCAGGGTTAGCTGCTGTCTAGGTTTGCTCTGCACGACTTGGAGGCCTCCAGACCAAATGCGCATTCCAGGAAGTTAGGGTCTGGAGCCACAGTGCAGTTAGGAAAACACAGGCAGCCCCCTTGCAGCTCGGAGGGAGTCAGCTTGTGGAAGGGTAACTGCCCCAAGATGGGTGGGAACAGCGCTGGGCTCAGAACCGCAGAGGAGAAACAGGCTCCGGAGGCACGAGCAACCCTCGCTGGCAGCATCCTTTACAAACTTTTCTAATTTTTGTAAAATGTTCCCTCAATTTTTGGGAGGCTGAGGTGGGTGGATCACTTGAGGCCGGAAGTTTGAGACTAGCCTGCCCAATGTGGTGAAACCCTGTCTCTACTAAAAATCCAAAAATTAGCGAGGAGTGGTGGCGCACACCTGTAGTCCCAGCGACTCAGGAGGCTGAGGCAGGAGAATCACTTGAACCCTGGAGGCAGAGGCTGCAGTGAGCTGAGATTGCACCACTACACTCCAGCCTGGGCGACAGAGCAAGACCCTGTCTCAAAAAAAAAAAAAAAAAAAAACGTTAAATGTACAGAAAAGGAACTCCCATATAACCCTCACCCAGATTTACCGACTTGTGACATTTAGCCAATTTAGCTGTATTTGCCCATTCATGCAGCTCCTGAGCTATTGGAAAATAAACTGCTTCTTCTGTAAACCTAGACTCGGAGGGGAAAAGAAAAGAAAAAAAACTGCCTAGATCCTTTTTAGTCCATCCTCCAGAAGCTTCATAGATCACCGAGTGTCCCTTGCCAGAATGTACATCAATGCTGCGTGACCCCCACTTCTATGCATAAGGGTGGCCTTCTTGCCTTAGGTTTTACCGAAGGCTCTTGGTAAACAATGGCGTTATGTTCTGAGTTGCCTCTCACCCCTCCTCTGCCCTCCCGGAACCAGAGGTGTCCAAAGGTTCCCTGCATACCCCCCTACTGCTCTGTTGTAGTTACACCTTGGGGCAGGTGCCCTTGTGGGTGTGTGTCAAAAGCCTCTCCCCCTTACAAAGCGGCTGTGTGCCTGGCAGTCCTTGGGAAGGAACCACTTCAGATTGTTTGGGGAAACATCCTTAGCAACAAAAAGACAGATGGTTACAACAGGAAAACCCTGACTTCGATGTAGACCTTTGTGGGTGCAGGAGGAGGTGATACCTGCATCTGTCATCAGACTGTGGAGAGTAGAACCCTCTGACTGTGAAATGGGTCTGTTAATCTGGCCTGGACCAGAGCCAGTTCCTCCCTAGCACAAGATCAGACCTCCTGTTCTGGTACAACCTCGGATGCAGTCACTGGGTAACCCACTAAGCTCCTGGCTGTCCCTCCTTCCTCTACCTGTGAATACAGCATGGCTGAAGCCCAAAGGATTCCAGTTCTGCTGCTTCCTCCTCAGTGTGGGTGGCCCGCCCCAGCGTTTCTCACAATGAACCCTCTAAGTGGGATGGCAGCATGCGGCATGAAGAGTCTGGGAGCAGCCCTCTTTTGCTTTAGGTGGCGGTTGGTTCAGGGGGCATGGGGACAGGTGAGGGGTAGAGCACGGAGCCACTGAGCTGGAGACAACATCCAACTAAGCCACTTCCACTGGGGCTCTGGGCGGGTTATTTCACCTCTCCAAACCTCCACTGTTCATGTCATGGTACTCATCTGTAAAATGAGAATTTAAAAAGGTACCTACTCAGTGTGTAGGGTTTACATGAAGACAAGTGAAAACAGGCCTGAAAGCATTTTTCATGGTGCCTGGGACACTTAATTTTCTATCCATCCATCCATCCATCCATTAGTTTAATTAATTTTTTTGAGATGGCATCTCGATCTGTTGCCTAGGCTGGAGTGCAGTGGCACAATCCCGGCTCACTGCAACCTCTGCCTTTGGGGTTCAAGTGGTCTTCCTGCCACAGCCTCCTGAGGAGCTGGGATTACAGGCATGTGCCACCACACCTGGCTAATTTTTTTTTTCCAAGTAGAGATGGGGTTTCACCATGTTGGCCAGGCTGCTCTTGAACTCCTGACCTCAAGTGATCCCCGTCCACCTCAGCCTTGCAAAGTGATAGGATTACAGGTGTGAGCCACTGTTCCCAGCCGATCCACTAATTTTATATCTATCCATCCATCCATCCATCATCTATAAAGAGAGATACCACTATAGGGAGGGGTCTGTACCTTCAAATGCTTAAGCATTACTTGTATCTCCCTCATGAATCATGGAGGGTGGGAGGGAGTAGGGTGGGTGTTCCTGGACGTTTGCACAATCAGCCAGCCAGGACCCAGGTTGGCATGTCCCCAGCTCATGTGGCGGTGGCCTTTGCAGGTGCAGAGCTACATGGAGCACCACTGCAACAACTCCACGGACCGGCGGGTTCTGCTCATGTTCCTGGACATCTGTTCAGAGCTGAGTAAGCTCTGCCAGCACTTTGAGGCTGTGCACTCTGGCACCCCAGTCACCAACAACCTCCTCGAGAAATGCAAAACCCTTGTGAGCCAAAGCAACGACTTAAGCAGCCTCAGAGCAAAGTAAGTCCCTGCGGTGCTGCCCTCGAGGCCCCGTGTGTGCCTGGGGGAGGCCCCTGTGCTGCATCCGTCCTGTTGCTGGACCGTGTGGCTCCTGTTAGACCACCCTGGGCAGCAAATCCCAGGCTGCCCTTATTTACTGGATTGGCTTGGATTCCACACAGCCTTTTCTTTACAAGCATTGTAGACATGGCAGGACACCAAGCAACTTATAGGAGTTAGCACCAGCAGGTGGAGAAGGGGGTATAGGTAGAGCCTTGAGCAGTTGCCTCCGGAAGTCCACAGAGATTCTCACTGATGTGCAAAGAAGTGGACCCAGAGCTCCCTTCCGGGGCAGCAGCACTGCCACTGCAGGCTTCTCACCATGACAGCACGGGAGCCAGGGAGCCCACAGGACAGTGGGCTGGAGCCTGGGGAAGCTCTGCAGATACCAGGGTGAGAAGAACCAGAGGGACAAGCCAGCCAGTTCCTCACCCCAACCCAGGTTTTTACAGACCATGGGGCAGTGCTTTGCACCTCCTGTCTTTCACACCAGAATTACCCAGGGCTTGTGGCACCCCAGGCCTGCTCTGCCAGAATCTCTGGAGACAGAGAGGCTGAGCATGCTGTGTGTCTAGTTCTAAAGCCTCCCTCCTCAGGCGACTCTGCTGTGCCTGAGGTCTGGCAGCTGCAGTCCCGGGAGGATGGGCTCACCTGGCCCCCTGCCGCCCTGCAGATACCCTCATGACGTGGTGAACCACCTCAGCTGTGACGAGGCTCGGAACCACTACGGAGGTGTGGTCAGCCTCATCCCCATCATCCTGGACTTAATGAAAGAATGGATCGCCCACTCCGAGAAGTTGCCCCGCAAGGTGCTGCAGCACGTGAGTGAGCCCCAGCTGTGCCAGGAGAGTACCAGGGGAGCCGCTCGTCCTTCCCGGGCCACAGGCACCCAGCTCGGGGCCACTAAATTCAAGTGTAGACCGCTCACAAAAGGCCGCCTCAAACCCAGGGGGAAAGACAAAGGACGTGCAAAACCACCCTGGAGGCCTCCTGGTGGGAAACTGTAACGCAGCCAGGGAGCCCCGTCGCTCCGTCGGTGGGGGGCTTTGCTATTTAATTTGGATGTTACCGGTTGGTCCTTTTTCATTGGCACCCACCGTTCTTGCCACTTATTAACCCCAAAGGGAATTGGCCAATACATTACTGAGACCACCCCCCACTCTGGCTTTAACTTCTGACGTTTCTGATTCTACGCATCCGGCTCTGTGCTGATGAAGAGGAAACCCACTTACAGGAGCTGCCCAAACAGGGTGGCATGGTAGCAGGTCCCAGGAAGGCACTGAACTGTCACCTAGGTCCTCTGTGAGCCACATCCGGCTCCAGTGCCAGGCCTGTCCCTGCTGTGGGCTGCAGCTTTGCAGTGAGCCATTTAGCTGGAGACCATTGCTCCTTGCTCCACCACCAGCCCCAACTGTAGTCCTGTAGTCAAGGCACACGCTGTCTGCCAGCCAGGGATGCGCCCCTCCGGGATGGAGAGGGGGTCAGCGTGTGGAACTCGGTGTGTTTATTTTTATTTTTTGAGAGAGAGTCTCACTGTCTCTCCCAGGCTGGAGTGCCGTGGCGCCATCTCGGCTCACTGCAACCTCCACCTCCTGGGTTCAAGTGATTCTCCTGCCTCAGCATCCTGAGTAGCTGGAATTACAGGCACCTGCCACCCCGCCTAATTTTTTTTTTTTTTTTTTTTTCAGTGGAGACGGGGCTTCACCATGTTGGCCAGGCTGGTCTTGAACTCCTGACCTCAACTGATCCGCCCACCCTGGCCTCCCAAAGTGCTGGGATTACAGGTGTGAGCTACTGTTCCCAGCCAGATCTCAGTGTATTTAGTTCTCCAGACCACAGCCAAAGGGGAGTGAACTCACCTTTCCTTCTCATTTACTTGGGAGAGGGAGACCATGACAGAAGCCAGAATTCTGATTTTGTGGCTCCTGAGCAAGGGCAATGACCTGGCTTTCACAGCATCGTCAAACCCCAAACACTTTGAAATGTGTCCCTGGCTTCTGAGCTTGCCCAAAGTCATGTCTGACTGTTGGTTTTTCCCTTCGCAGGGGACGACTTAGCTTCTGTATTGTTGCTTCCTCAGGGGGAGACAGTCGAGAATAAAAAGTGTTCTACCATCTCTCTGCCTGGCTTGGTTTCCTGGGATTTATCCCTGAAAGAAAACCTGCATTTCTCCCAAGACACCAAAGGACACTGGGCAGTAGCCACACAGGCAAAACCTCCGCAGACAGCAGAGGGCCACCCTAGGCAAGGGAGATGCCTGTCTCCAGTTAGCTTCTAAGAGGTTCATGCCCAAGCTCCAGAGGGCCAGTATTCAGATCTTCTGCCAAGGGTGGGAAGTCTAGGAAGCCTAGTTAGAGACCCTGTCAGGTAAGAAAACCTGAATTTTCCAGAGAAATTAAAAACTGCCACCTGCCAGTTTTAGTCTCAAAGGAGTTGCTTCAACCATTAAAATGGGCAGAGCAGACTGGGCGTGGTTGCTCACACCTGTAATCCCAGCACTTTGGGAGGCTGAGATGGCTGAGTTACTTGAGGCCAGGAGTTCGAGACCAGCCTGGCCAACATGGTGAAATCCTGTCTCTACTAAAAATACAAAAAAAAAAATTAGCCAGGTGTGGTGGCAGGTGCCTGTAATTCCAGCTACTTGAGAGGCTGAGGCAGGAGAATCACTTGAACCTGGGAGGTGGAGGTTGCGATGAGCCAAGACCGCACCACTGCAGTCCAGCCTGGGCAACAGAGTGAGACTCTGTCTCAAATAAATAAATAATAAAGTGAGAATAAAATGAACAGGACAATGCTGATTTCCAGACACAGCCAGACAGAGGCAAGCAACTGAAAGCCACATTGCAAATGACTCATTCCTTATGTGGTCCTTACATGGAAGTCCCAGGCCAAGAGATCATAAGCCAAATTGTGTAAAGGGTTTCCAGCCTTCTTCCAAAGCCTTGAAGGGCATGGAGCAAGGGGTGCTGGGAGCTACGCTGTCACCTCGGTGCGCTCACATCATCACAACCAGCAAGGCTCAGGAGGGTGAGCTCTGAAGCACTGACGTGTCAGTGGGGTGTCCCCAAAAGGACTCCGTGGCACCAAACATGCCAGGCGTGTCGCAGCAGCACAACCCCGCAGACCACCTGGCTCTGGGGTTTCTCCGTAGACAGGATTCAAGTCACCCCTTCCCACACTATGCCACTTAGCCACTCTCTGAGGAAGAGCATGAATTTGAGGCAGGTAACAGGTAGGATTTGTGGCTGTGCACCAGATAATTCACCAGAATAAAAGGGGTCTTCTTAGAGACGAAAGCCCAAATCCACTATTTGTCAGGCCCCTCCCTCCTCAAGTCTCGGAAGGTAGCCAAACCAGACCCTAAGGCTTTCTGTCTCTGGACTAGTCCCCTGCTTGACCTATAAGCCTGCCAAGGCCAATGTTAAGTCACTCCATGTCCACACAGCAGAGTAGTGCAAAACAATAATTTTTATTTGTTCACAGTTAAACACAAGCAACTGCCTTGACATTTTAGAACATTCTAAGAAGGACAGCAAACCCTTTTGATTCCAATTCCCATTCACTAAGATTGTACCATTTTATCTTGCAGTTCATATTTATGGCATCTGATCTGGATTGTTGACATGCTTTTAAGATTGAGGCTGGAAAGTTTAGACCTTTTGACAAGAGCTGACTTTCTTCAATTTAACTAAAAGCAGTCCGTTTTAAAAAAAATCAGTTTCTTTTCACTGATGGGACCCCTTTAAACTGCAAGTTTGCCACACCTGGTTCATCCATGATTGAGTTATAAAACTAGATTACGTCTTAGCAAAATCTGTTCCTCCGTAATATATTTGTGGTCCATAGAAGTCGTCTGAAAAGTGATTACTGATTCTTCCTAGTGCAAAATGCATGGCTGCCTCTTTCATAAGCTCAAATATTTGCTACACAGAGCAGCTCCTGTCCAAACACTGGGAGAGGTGGGGAAAGGGAGGGAAGGATTGGTCTGGGGGTTCTCAAGACTCTCAGGGTCTCCCCTGAAAGGTCCATGCTAATGGTTAAATCAGCCTACTTATCCCAGAGAATGGATAATGTGGCACTGGGAAGCGGGGCGGAAGCTCCTCTGCCTTCATTAACTCGTTTCATGACCAAAAGCCGTGGGCACAGGTGCTCGGCTCTTCCAGGCAGGCTTCCCCTGTAGCTGCAGCCGCTCTTCCCTCAGGCGAGCAGGTATGGACTGCAGGATGGCATGGAAGAGAAAGGAACACGTCCCCCTGGGCACATCGAAGAGTCCCAGACAGGGAAACAAGCCACATGGGACAAGGGTCACAGCAGCAGCCTAGGGGCCAGTCCTCGACCTAAACTTGTTCTTTTACCTACAGACAAAAGCTTAATCAAGTGCAATCAATTACTTTGCAGCGATCTGGGGGGCATGTGTCACAGAACTCTGGATGTAAACAGATACACAAACATCTTCAGACTGGATACATTTTTCCAACACTCATGGCAGGTGTTTTAAAGCATGTACCCTGGAGAGTGAAGATGCAGCAGACACGGTGTGCTGATTTGGTCACTGCACACAAGGCAGCTTTCTTCTCCAAGTAGGGCAGAGCCCCCAGGGGGACCATGCTCCATGAATATTTGCAGGGGGGCGGGCAGCACTCCATCTCACCAGGGTCCTGGCCGGGCCTTCACTCTGCCCAAACCCTCCTCCAGCCTGTACAGGCTTCCTCCGGCCTCAGTGCTTTCAGTGAGAAAAAGTGAGTATTGTTACGCAGTACTTTTGTTTCCTCTTCAGTTCTTTCTTTCTTCAAGTGGTATGCTCTACTATTTGGTAGAAATTCACATTGGCTTGTCACAGCACACTTCAGTTCTGCTGGCTACACGAAACATACCCAGTTTTCTATTCGTAACAGCGAGTCTGAGCCTCTGTGGTCTCAGAGATCCTTTCATCCCCAAGACCATTTTATACATCCTCCTCTAAACAAGTGCTAGTTTTATCTTTCTCAACAAATATACCAGAAACTACACGTGCTGTTGCAAAGGAGAAGGTCCAAGTCTGCGGTTTCACTCCCTGTTGTCCTGCTTTTGCCCAGTAATGTGCGGCCTGGTGGGTGAATTCTTCTAATCGTCAGTGGCTTCCAGGACCCGTTTCCTGGGTTTAACAGTTCACCTTCTCAGAACAGTTCGGACCATTTCCCCCACCACGTCACATAAACTTTGGCTCACAAAGTAGCTCGCCTCTTGCCTCTCCACTCATCAAGCTTAGTAAGAAAATTCTGCAGCTTATTCCCAAAGGTCGGGCAGTTTTCTCTCCTGAAAACCACTGTCTGTCCACCTGCCTTAGGAATGCTGGGCCAGCACTCATCTCCAAGGACATCTTTAACAACCTCTCCACCTAAGAAATGACCTTGACCTTCCTACCTTTGGGTTTCCGTTTTCTTCATTACGTGTTTCTTCCAATCCCATAATAACAATTTTTATAGACTTTATGGCAGAGCCTTGTCAACGGCTCTTTGAAAATCCACAGAAGTTCTATCAGACGCAGATCTGCGTGCTTATTCACCTGCAGGGACTCGGGAGCTCATTTGCTCTGCGTCTTCTTATCCCCCTCCCCGCTAAAACTGTAGTGCTCCATTTTAAATGACTCCCATGCTGCATAGCAGCAGACTCCAGGCTCCTCAGGGCCTGTGCTGACTCTGGTTAGTGTCAGGTGGGGAACCGAGTAGGTTATGCATATTGGCCAAACAGCTGAGACAGGTATCCTCGCCCACAATGATTTCTGGACAGACCATCCAATCCCAGTATTTATGAATACCAAGCTGCTTAACTGGTTTCAAGGCAGACTCTGCCCTTAATGCTAATTGTACTAATGCCTTTGCCCAGGACTGAACTGCCTCTCGAGAGTCCTACTATCACCTTTCCATCCTTAAAACGAATAATTGCAGCATGATCAAGTGACCTGTTGGCTCTTGGCAGGTTTATCACTTCCAAAACCAAACCAAACCTAACTACTGACTCTGGGGTTCTTTGCAACATAGAAGCCTACATTTTTAGGTTGGGCACTTTCAACCTAAGTCCAGGTCTCAGTCCCCCAACCGTAGCTGAATAAATCCACAGCCTCCTAGAACTCAAAGGCACCTGAGCTTGCAGCCGCCTTTGCTGTAAAGCTGAGTAAACGGACACCCAGGCCGGATGAATGAAGCTCCATCCATGGAGCTTCCAGCCTAGGCCTCTCACCACTTGACCAAGCTGCCTCCTTTCTTCCCTTTATTTTTACAATCTATCCACTTCTAAAATGTTTTTTCTTTCTCACGTGGGCCTCTTTTCCTTTGCCAATTAAGGAAAAGGCTTTAAGTGCCTGCTATCTTGTTCTGTGGCACAGACCTCTTGGGCATGAGGAGGGGAAAGCACTTGTGTTTCAGGATTCACGGATGGGAATTCCTGCCCTTTCTAAATTTGTTCATGTTTTCCTTTTCTAAAGCTGAACCAGGAAACTAGACTGTACTGGATTTTATGCTTTCCTTTGGACAAAGCTGAATTAAACATGTGGT